ACAAAGATACATCAAAAACCTTTTGTTAAGTGTACATTAAATGTTATATTTAAAGAACCTTGATTTTTGAGAGCAACAAACAGCTGTGTAACAGACTGTTTATCCACAGGATGGTGCTAAAATGTTTTAGAATGATTGGAGACTGTGTTTGACATAAATCTGAACTTATTAAAAAAAATAGATGAATGTCTCTGATTGATTTAGAGACATGGGGAAACAGAACTACAATAAAAGATCCCAGGGGGTAGAACAGTTTTGAGCATAAAAGCAACATTTGAGAACAAAATTAACTCACTTACATCTGAAATAGCTTGCAATTCTCAACAAATTGAATCTAAATCAAACCTTTTATGATGAGCTCCAGTGAGGTTTAGGAGTTAGAATCTTGTTTGAAATCTTAATCAAAAAAGCTTGCATGCATGCTTACAAAGCTATATTGAAAACCCATTATCAACCCCCTCTTTCAAAAACTGCTTTAGATAGCAGGATTTTTTTTATTTCTTTTTGGTTTTGAGCCAAATGCGTGGAGTAAAATTAAACAAAGCTCTTTGTTGGCATGACAGAGACAAAATAAAGGTCTGACTCATTTGGCAGGAGTTGAAAACGGCATATAGATGTAGTTTCAGCATTTTTTCTCCTCCAACTCAGCTGTGATATAGTGATTATATAAAAACATAATGAAAAACTACCAAAAGTCTGAGAAGGAAGGTCAAGATTGTTTTCGGTGGCCCCAAACAGAAAAATTATACTCGGAAATACATGCAAATTACATATACAAGTTCACAAGTTCATGTTTGGATTTTACATTTATAAATCATTTGTTACATCTTTTTAAATTCCAAAATGGCTATTGGAATTACCAATATGCACATGCATGTTTAAATATATTAGATATAATTGTTTATACATTCACCGGCCACTTCATTAGGTACAGCTGTCTAACTGCTCGTTAACGCAAGTTTCTTATCAGCCGATCACATGGCAGCAACTCAATGCATTTAGGCATGTAGACATGATCAAGACGATCTGCTGCAGTTCAAACAGAGCATCAGAATGGGGAAGAAAGGTGATTTAAGTGACTTTGAATGTGGCATGGTTGTTGGTGCCAGACGGGCTGGTCTGAGTATTTCAGAAAATGCTGATCTACTGGGATTTTAACACACAACCATTTGACAGAGAATACTTCGAAAAAGAGAAAACATCCAGTGATTGGCAGTTGTTTGGGTGCAAATGCCTTGTTGATGCCAGAGGTCAGTGGAGAATGGCCAGACTGGTACGAGCTGACAGAAAGGCAACAGTAACTCAAATAACCACTCGTTACAATCGAGGTATGCAGAAGAGCATCTATAAACGCACAACCTTGATGCGGATGGGCTACAGCAGCAGAAGACCACAGGAAACTGAGGCTACAATTCGCTCAGGCTCACCAAAATTTGACATTAGAAGATTGTAAAAATGTTGATGAGTATCGATTTCTGCTGGGACATTCGGATGGTCGGGTCAGAATTTAGCATCAACAACATGGAAGCATGGATCCATCCTGCCTTGTATCAACAGTTCTGACTGGTGGTGGTGTAATGGTGTGGGGGATATTTTCTTGGCACACTTTGGGCCCATTCGTACCAACTGAGCATCGTGTCAACGCTGAGTACTGTTGCTGACCATGTCCATCCCTTTATGACCACAGTGTACCCATTTTCTGATGACTATCTCCAGCAGGATAACGCACCATGTCATAAAGTGCAAATCAACACAGACTTGTTTCTTAAACATGACAATGAGTTCACTGTACTCAAATGACCTCAACAGTCACCAGATCTCAATCCAATAGAGCACCTTTAGGATGTGGTGGAACGGAAAGATTTGCATCATGGATGTGCAGTCGTAAAATTTGCAGCAACTGCGTGATGCTATCATGCCAATATGGATCAAAATCTCAGAGGAAAATTTCCAGTACCTTGTTGAATCTATACCACAAAGTATTAAAGCAGTTCTGAAAGCAAAAAGGGAATCCAACCCAGTATACTAGTAAGGTGTACCTAATAATATGGCCGGTGAGTGTATATTACATATAATTGTGTGTGTGTGTATATTACATATAATTGTGTGTGTATATATATATATATATATATATATATATATATATATATGTGTGTGTGTGTGTGTGTGTGTGTGTGTGTGTGTGTGTGTGTGTGTGTAAAATGAAATGTTTAAAATGAGCTAAAACAACAATTGAAACAAAACAACTCAGTTTTTTTTGTGGGGACAACTTGTTTTATGTTAGTAAAAACGAATAAGTTGACTTAATTTCGTATTTGTTGTCTTAAGGCATATCGATTGTGTGGAACCCAGCAGTTTTTACAGTGTCGCCGTATTTGCAATGTTTCAATATATATGTTGCACATATGAATATTATATATGTGAAATCCAAACCCAAAACTTGTTTCTCATATACATACTTTCCATATATTGCTATATATCAGATTTTTATGTGGGGCCATGTATTGTTTTTAAGCTGTACACAGCAAACAAGTGAACAAAGTAGCCACAAGACATGAAGAATTCCAGTCAAAATGAGTCAGTCAGCTTCTGTCTAGACACCAAACATGCAATAAATCACTATATTACTATATGTATGCACACACTGCCTTTTTATTATAACTATTTTCAACATTAATCCAAACAATGTAAAAACACAAATAGAGGAATGAGAGCTGTGAAACAAATCAAAACGCTTCCGCAAAACCGCAGCATCTTTGACAAGCCGGACTGATGCTGTTCAAAGGAGATCAGCGAAGACCCTTTAATTTACAGATGCTTCCCGAGCGGGCAATTTCCTCAACAATAGACTCAACACTAATGATACTGTTCATGCGCTTTAACCAGAGGCATCTGAGAAATGTGTCTTCTCATTGTCAGGTGCTTTTGGGTCAGGTGGATAAATCAAGCGTGCCACTTTCTGAACGTTGCCAAATCCAGAACACAGCCTTTGTTTCAACCGAGAAAGCCAGTCTGGGTTTGATTCAGGTAAACCCTGCATGCTGCGTCTCCCTTATGTTCATGTTTGTTGCATTATTACAAACATATACAAGTGTCTGTTGCCTCATTACAAGCATATGTATATAACTAACAAAAGAAATGTTTAAACAGATCTTACGTCTCTGAAGAGTAAGGTATAAACGAGGCATTTATGTGAAAAAATGCAGTAATTCTGCAACTAACACATACCAATATAAGTTTATTTTGTTTGGGATAATAAGCATGTATATCATTGTTATGTTTACCACACTTGAGCGATTTTCGGTTTTTAAGGTCATTTCAGGTGATATACAGAGAAACTGTTGCTTTGTAGAGATTTTAACCTTAAGGAACTATTTTAGGCACAGCACTGGTCTATTATGCACACTGTATTTTATATGTACGTTCTGCTGTTAATACGTTAATAATAATTAGCATCTTATTTTGCTTCAACATTCTTTTTGTAATTGGCTGTAATTAAATTTCAAGTGGATGACAATTTAATAAAAATGTATCACGGCAAGTTAAAACGTTGGCATCACTTTGTTTTTTTTTTTAGCTTTTCACACCTGGGGTAGTTGCTTTTTCATTAATTTAATTAAGAGTTTTTGCAGTTATTTTTCAGATTTTTTCACACATATTATGTACGTTCTTACATTAATTGTACACTTTAATATCAAATCTATATATTTATACACATTAATTGCTAGCAATATATATATATATATATATATATATATATATATATATATATATATATATATATAGTGATTTACTGTGATTTTGGTACATTAAATTACAGCCATATAGTGTAACTTCACAGTAGATAGTAAAGTCCATTACTAAGATTTCACAGTATAATCTTGTAGAATTAACTATATTTTACTGTGAAGCAGGATTTCCTCAGCTATTCATTCTAACATGTACATTCTGACTTTCAAATCATTTTGGGTGTTTAAAAGTGTTTGGTTTTATGAATCAATTACTTGTGTTCCAGTTTATTATGTTTTTGGCTAAGCACACTGTTGTGTTCATTAAAAACTATTTTATATTTCCATGTTAACCTTTTAATCTTAATAAAGGTGCAGTGTACCCAAAAATGTAAATTTACTATGATATTCATGTCGTTTCAAAACAGAATGATTTAATTTTAAATTACATATGAAGATGTAATCCAATTGTTTTTGGGTCTGCAATAACATTGTTATTTCTAAATACCAAAAAGTGTTATATTGGCATAAAAGTTCATTTGTATCAATGTCTATGTTGAAAGAAATAAAAGGAGTTTGAATTCCTATAACTAACATACAAAAGATATAACCCTCTTTACAGTAATTTGCTGTAATCATGCAACCTGCCTTAATTTTACAATAAAATTATGAATACAACACATTACTCTAAATTTTTATAGTTAAATCCTGTAAAGTGATCCTAATGTAATTTAATGTGAAAAATTTTATATATATATGTATATATATATATATATATATATATATATAATTTTAATCTAACTTAGTAGAAATTTAAATAAATAAACTTTTTAATTACTTATGCAGTATATATAAATGAGGTTTATATTTTTAATTAATTAGATAATTTATATAAAAATGAATAATTATTATAATATCTAAATCATAAACATATTACTATAGTAAAACATACATCTCATACATCATACATGTACATTTTTCATTTAAAATGTAACATTTTAAATAAAGCTATACTGAATATATTCCATGTTTACTTTTTGGAAGCATTATAGGCTATATTAAGCATTAAGTATATGTTGGATTTTAATGTGTATATTTATTATAAATATTCAGTTTTTTATGTCTAAAATGGGTACATTAATATAAAACACAGAACATAAGTTTAAACAGAGTTTAAATGAAACAGGTGCACTTGAAAAATCGCCAAAAATTCCAAAATAAATGTAAACAACTAACAAAAACAACGACAAGTCAGCACGGATCCATCATAACAATGACAAAAGCACATTATCAACTTCCCCAGTAGTTTGCAGGAACAGATCCAAGCTTCTACTAACCCACTGAAAGAAAGGCAATCCTGCTCTCTGCCCACCGTCGCCCCTCTCGCCAGAGGAATGGAGGGCTGGATCACGTGACTGCCGGTGAACTTGCCGCTCCAGCCCCTGAAAGCAAAGTGTAATTTGAAGAAAAGAGAACAAAGAAATCAGAGAGTATAAAATCCCTCGGCTTGCCTGAGCCGGGTCACAGTAAAGCTCGTACAGTTGAAGCGGCTCGCGCGCAGGTGCTGCGTCTGCGTGCGGCTCTCCGTCATCATGCGATCTGCACAGCTCCTCTCTGCGCTCTTCTACTGCATAGCGTGCATCCATTCCCTACCTGTACCAGACGGAAACAGCCACAGGTACAGACCTGCTGCGGTGAGTGCCTTTACATATCATTTATTTTAGCGAATTAGAAAATAATACCTTGAAATAAAGATTTGCACATGCATGCGTTCTAAAATATAACGCAGGGTTATCTAAACCCTAACTTATATCTTGTGTACAAACTAAATCCAACCGCTGGGTTGATTTTTACATTTTTATTCATTACCCATCTTTAACCCAACAGTTGTTATTATTTATTACAGTAGCATTTAAGAGGTAGTGATGAAGTTCAAATATGCACGGTATGCAACTTGCAAGGTTCATTGTCATTCACCTGTTATACATAACGTTCTACATAAGTGAACAATAAACAAACCTGTGCATATAATTTTTTAATTCATTTATTTGGATAGAGAGATATTTGCATTTGTTTTAGCGTTAAGACATAATAGGTTGCACTTTTTCTCAAAGTAGTGTGAGAAAAAGAGTCATAGTTCATACCTGCTAGAGTCACTAGCAGGTATGAAAAAGTAACTGTCCTGCTGGCCAGTAAGTGAAAGGCAGTTATTTGTGTATGAAGGTGCCTCTTAAAGACTCCAAAACAACACATAAATACATAACGTATAATGGCCTAAAATTAATTCAAGTCAATTTAGCATAGAAATACATATTTATTGAATTATAAAACCAAATATCATTTATATATAAATGTTGCCTATATATATGCAAACAACCAGATGAAGCCATTTTAGAGGACAATGTTAATTCAAGGAAATTCATTTTAAAAATGAAGCATTTTCTTCAGCAGTGTCCATCTCAGTGTCACTATCAAGTCTTTAAATTCATATATACTGTCATTCTGTAAAAAAAAATAAATAAAAAAAATAAAATAAACTGTGATGGTAATTAAGCGATTACATCTGAGACTACACTTTCTGAATCTACCCCCTACTGAAACCTTTAATCCATAACAACTAAACCTAAATCTGACCTTGCTAGAGATCTGTCAGTATCAGCAAATCCTTAAAAGTCCTAAGTTTGCAAAAAGAGGCTGACCATGTACTTTAACCAAGCAATATGTGCAAAAACATGCTATCAATGTATGCTAGCAGTGTTCTAAAACCTGCCAGAAACACACAGCAATGTATTAAATCATTGCTGAAGTTTTAGTAACAAAACAAGTTGGTGAAACATGCCAGCAGTATATTAAATGTGTTACATGTTAGAGATCTTAAAATGTTAGCAATGAGTTGGTAAAGTGCTAACAATGTTCTAAAACGAGTTATAAACATGCTAGCACTGTGTTAAAATATGTTATCAATAACAGCAAATGCCTTGAGAAATCACCTAGAGAATTGAAAACAACTTTCTGGTCAGATTTCCTCAAGGGAACACCGAAGTTTGTCTTAATATTTGTATTGAATTGTTGGTTTTATGATATGGTTTACATAATGCTAATTATCAGGTGATAAAATGTTGTTCTGTACAAACAAAGAAAATCTAGTAGGGCTTAGGGAAAACTGACAAAGAAGAACTACAGATGGCTGTTGTAACCCAATTGGCAAAGATCCATACAGAGATTTTTTTCAGGGAAAATATCAGGCTAAAAAAAAAACATGTATCAGTTTGAAACGTTGAATGAAAGGGCAGAAGCAAGTAGTTGTAACAAAGTGGAGAACAACTTCTTTCAGAGCTCTGAATCGCCACATCACACAAAGCATTACCACAAAAAGACAATGAAACATTGCATGCTGTAAAAGCAAGCGTCTATAAAGAGCAGCTTAATTTTATTATATGTATGTTTGTCTTTACCAATCAAACAAGAATGGCACCTGCGTTCAAACCAGCTCCAGACTCGTTTAAAGGACTGTGTTCATGTTTGGATGTAGAGAGGCAAGTCTGACGCGGAGCATGTGCTGTCAATTTGTTCCTGAATGTTGACAAAGCCAGAGCAGGAGATTATGCAGGCAGAGGCAAGTCATCTGGCACGCTGAGCAGGATAACAAACACTGTGTTTGCTGACTGAGGGGAAAATGGAGGGATCCTGATAGCTACCACTGCATTTGTTGACCCCTTAAGAAAGAAAAGCTAATGTCCTTCTCTAAGGCATTGTTCATGCTTCACAAACTCCATGAAGACTGCCAAAACATTTTACAGCTCAATCAACACACTGACCAAACATGGCTAATGTGCAATTCCAGGGAGTTGAATTGAATTGGGGACACAATATGTAAAGTTACATTGGAATATACACTGAATTCACATCATCTATCTATCCATCCATCTATCCATCCATCCATCCATCCATCCATCCATCCATCCATCCATCCATCCATCCATCCATCCATCCATCCATTGTTCAGTTGTTTATCCATCCAACCATCATTGCTTGTTCATTCATTTGTCAGTCTTTCCATTACTTCAGTCTATCCATCCATCCATTGGGCATTCATTAATTTGTCCATCTGTTCATCCATTTATAATTTGTTGATTAGTTCCATCTATCCATTTTTTGCTCATTCATTTGTCTCTCTTTCCATTACTTTCATTCATCTATCGCAGGGGTGTCAAACTTAATTCCTAGAGGGCCGAAGCCCTGCACAGTTTAGTTCCAACCCTGCTCCAACACACTTACCTGTAGGTTTCAAACAAGCCTGAAGGACTCAATTAGTTTGATCAGGTGTGTTTAATTAGGGTTGGAACTAAACTGTGCAGAGCTGAGGCCCTTTTGGAACTGAGTTTGACACCTGTGATCTATCGGGAATTCATTCATCTGTCCATCTGTTTATCCATTTATTATTTGTTGATTAGTTCCATCCATCCATTTTTCATCAGCCATCCATTCATCCATCCATTGCTCAATTGTTCATCCATCTATCATTGTTTGTTCATTCATTTGAAAGTCTTTCTATTACTTCCATCCATCCATCGGGCCTTCATTCATCTGTCCATCTGTTCATCCATTTATTATTTGTTGATTACATCCATTCATCCATCCATCCATTGTTCAATTGTTCATCCATCCATCATTGTTTGTTCATTCATTTGTCTGTCTTTCCATTACTCCCATCCATCCATTGGTCAATAATTAATTTGTCCATTTGTTCATCCATTTATTATTTGTTGATTGGTTCCATCCATCCATTTTTCATCGTCCATCCATCCATCCATTCATCCATCCATCCATCCATCCATCATTTAATATATATATTTTTTATCTATTCATCCATTGACATTTGTTACATTACAGTTTTCTCGGTTGCTTTGGTACATTTCTCGGATCAGAACTGAAATTTGCAAAACAGTAAATGCATTTCTCAAAACAACGCATACAAATAGCAAAACTCCATGAATTACCTGCAAAACCCAGTCTCTTGCTTAAAATCTTAGTTTATCTCTCAGCTCTCTTTGTGTATCAATGAGTCCTTGTGTCATTGAGTATAGATAAGACAGTTAAATTACCTAGTGATGTTGTCAATACAACAATGTACTCTGGAGGGGTGTTCTAGTGTAGACTATGGCAATTATTGCAGTTTGTCACAATTTCTTTGACACATTTTTCAAAACAGAAATTCTTTATACTGTGAGTGCAAATCTCGAAACTGTTTGCTGGGACATCAGAACTTTATTCCATGTCTGCAAAATGTAGTTACTCCCCCAAAACATTTAATTTGTGCTTTAAAATCTAGTTATTGTGGCAGTAATTTGGTCAAGGCCACCAAAACATAAAGTGTATTTGTCATCGTGTGAGCCACACTCTTCAAAATGATTAGTTGTTTATTCACCATGACAGTCAACCAATAAAATAAAGGTTTAAAAAAACACATATTTGTTGAGAAGTGTGAATAGTGCACAGAAAAATTAACATTTGTATTTATACAGTGTATTTATTTTTTGTACAAATGTAAAACATGTAAACCTTCATTAGAAAAAGTCAAGGTTCACCTGGGAAAAATGTACTGATTGTAGACAGAATTAGAAATAAAAAGCCTAATGGAAATGTTATAAAAATGCATCAAGACATAATATTATGACAATGTGTTCAGCCATTTTTCTTGTAACAACTTAAGCTATGAACAACCGATTAAATGTTGAGGAGGGTGAGACTATTCACCAGAGACCAAAATAATACAGTTTGACCAACATGACTTAAGCAGGGAGACATGGTGGCTCAGTGTTTAATTAGTACAATTATCTGAAGATTGAACGGGTAGTTTTGAGTATTCCAAGTCTGATCTGAAAAAATGTACCAAAGCGACTGAAAAAAACTGTAATCTGTTCTTTCATCAATCCACATATTGTGTCTCTGTCCATCAATCCATCTATAAGGCCTATAACCCCTAGACCCCTCAACTTTTCATTTTTAAAAATCTTTTTTAAAGGCAGGCATCAAAATCATCTCAACAAATGTTGTATTGTAGCTAAAACTGTTAAAAATTTTGTTGAATTTAAAGTCATTACATAATCAATAATCAAATTAGATTTTAAAAAGAAATAGTGAATAAAATTGTTAACTGTGCACAAAAAAGCAGTTGTAAAACTTTACGAAGGTAAATGAAAAAGTCTTACCAATTCTAGGCACCCATGTCAATCAGCATCAATTACTCAGTTTAGGTTATCCTTATGACCCAATCTGAACACATCAGAGGAAAGAACATACAAGGTTAGAGCGGGTGGAGTGTACAGGTCGAGGTCAGCTGCGATGCACCACCCGTGGAGCCGTTAGGTTTAGGTTTCTTGCCTGTAGGGACAAATAAGAGCATGACTGACACTGGAAACCTCGACGTACCTGGTTCTGATTCAAACCACCATCTTTCCAGTCACCTGATCTTAAGATCTAGAACCCCTCAACAGCTGTTTCCTATCTCTACAGAAATTAGGAGACAAAAGAACTTGCGCTCCTTTCTTCAAGTTGAGTGTTGCTCCTGGCAAAGCATCAAACATTACAGAGCAGTAGACATTTATAGTGAGATTACCAAGCTGTTCCATCTGGAAGTGAAAAAGGTGACAAGTGGAAACCATTAAAACATTCATAAGCAATACTATTTCCC